TCTTAATTAGTAGAAGACCTCTAGACAATACTCTATAATATATAAGTAACGCGTTTGCTAGAGAGATAGGTTTACTAACTATCTCTCTTTTTTAATTTATAGGTTTTATATTAGATTAGAAGCTTCTAGTTTAAAAGTAGGTGTCTAACCTTATTTAAATTTACCTATATATATTAGCAACGTAGTTACTATGCGTTAGAGAAGATATATATATTACTCTTCTTCTGCTTGCGCTTTAAGTTAGTAGACTTATAGAGTAGAATAGAAATTAAAGCCTCTATAGTCTCTTTCTGCGCCTTGTCTCTTTTTCTCTTATATATTACTCTTATTAGAGGCGTAGCTAGTAGAGTTAATATAGAACGTATAGTAGATATATTTATATTATCTTTAGCTTTACTCTATAGTAAGATATTATACTTAGAGCTATCTACCTATAGAAGCTTATAGTCTAAGTCTAGAGAAGCGCGTTCTTAAAGTAGTAGAGGTTAGTTTAGCTAGAGTAGTGCTTTATACTGTACCTTAGCCTACACCTTAGCTAGCAAACGTAATAGAATTACGCTAGAAATACGTTCTAGTAGATCTTTTGCAGATACTCTAAGAGTAGAGTCTCTTAGTAAAATAATACCTTTAAAGAAGAATATTACTTCTCTTTCTTACTTTATTAATAATTGCTCTATAAGTATAGGCGCTACTAGGTAGTTAGAGTAGTATCTTTTAACGTAGTTTACTAGCGCACTATAGTCGCTAAACTGCTACTACAACGTTGTAAGTACGTATTCTATATATAATTTTAGCGTACTTATACTATAAAGTAGCTTATTAAGCTAGTAATAGTAGGCGTAATAAAAGATCTCTCTCTAGTAGATAAGGTAATACCTACTTCTATTCTATTTACTAAATAGTAGTATCTCTTAAAAAAAAACACTAAGTTAGCTATATTATAGATAGTTATTCTAAATATAATTAGATTATGTTAGAAACGTGTTATTAGAAGACTTATATACTAATATATAGTCTTAAGTTCTATAGTAGAGTAAAGAGAGAAGGTAGAGAGAGAAAGAATAGTAGTAGGTAGGCGCTTAACTCTAAAGAAAGGCAAGAGGCTAGGCTAGTAAGAGAAAATTTATTACGCCTTGCTATATTAGGTAAAGATTAATATAGGCTTAGATTATGTATATAACATATTTCTATTATATTCTACTAGCTAGTATTCTGTTTATAGACTCTAGTATATATAGTAACTATACTAGATTGTAATTAGAACGCGTTTGTAGTATAATTTAGCTAGAGTTGTCTCTCTAAAGCTACTGCCTACGCTCTTCTAGTTTTACTTTACGTTTCTCTAGTTATAGTCTTTACTTCTATAGCTCTATCTTCTCTTTCTTAATTTTTAAGAGCGCTCTTCTCTTTATAATAGTCTAGTTACTTTTAAGTACCTGCTGCCTTAGAGCTTAAGAAGAGTTAGGCTTAAGATTGTATTAAAAACGTAGTAAGAACGCAATATAATAGACCTACTCTAGGCTAGCTTCTAGTGCTAGAGAGAAGTAAGCTAGAGAAGAGCAGGCTAGAGAAGAGCGCCTGCGGCCTCTGCCTTTTAGTTGTCTACTCTATATAATAAAACTAGATAAATTAGCCTACTCTAAGATACTATTATTATTATTAATAATAATAAGGTTCTAGTACTCTAATTTCTACTCTAAACTTAATAAGACTACGTATAAAATATATTACACGCAGTAGACTTACTCTCTTTTTCTATAGCCTTAAAGTATCTTTGTGTATAACTATAGCGTAATCTATTCTTATAGTAGACGCTATAGACTATCTTTGCTTTATATTTCTCTATATTCTAGAAGTCTTACTTATAGAAGCTAAAACACGTTACTAGTACGTTCTTAATGTATTTTAATATACTTATATTAGAATAGTTTTAAGTAAAGTCTTATTAATTCTATTGTAATATAACTTTATGCTAGCTTACTTAGCTACGTTAGAAGTGCGCTCTAATAAGTTCTAAATATATTACTCTATGTAGTTATTGCACTTTACAAGACTACTTATAATAATAAAGTATACCTTATAAGCTGCCTAATCTATAACTACTTTAGATTTATTTTCTACTATATTGTAAGAACGTGTTGTATATATAATTAAAAGAAGTTTTATACCTTATAGAAGCCTAATATAGGTATAATACTTATCTAGTAATTTATAATAAAGAAGAGCCTTTATACGCCTCTAAATAGAGTATTCTATATACTCTGCGTTAGGAATAGCGTAGTTAATACTATAGAGAAAGTAAGCTTTATATAGGCGAACTATATAGAGATAATACTATTTCTATTTATAGTTAACTTCTAAAAATTCTTAGAGAAACAGTTTCTAGCCTATAGAATTATATTAGTAACGTGTTCTTAACGTAATTTAGTAGAGTATAACTAATCTTACAACTATTTATTGTCTATATTAATAGTAATACTTATAATACTATCTTTATAAAGATAGTAGAAGTAAATTAGCTTTTCTAACGCCTCTAAACAGAGCTTAAAGAACTTAGTAAATACCTCTATATATATTTCTATAAAATTAATGTCTATAATAACTTTTTTAAGAGAGATTACTATATTATATTTAGAACGTGTTATAGGCGCGTTAACATGCTTTTACCTATATTTTATAGTGTCTTTATTAAAGATAGCAAAGAGTAACTTAGACTACTTACTATAGATACGCTTATATAATATGTCTATCTAGAATGTATTCTATTAAAGTAATAGAGAGGCTTACTTATTAAGAAAGTAGTATATAAATGTACTATTATTAGTAGAGTATATTTATTAGATATACGCCTATATTATGTTAGAAACACGTTTCTAGCGCGTTACTAGCTACTTACTATAGCTAGGTTTTAATGCTTAGTTCTAAGCTTATATATAACGCCTTCTATACTAGAGCTATAAAGATATATTATAGCTTTACAGGTTTTAAGTAAGCTTCTAATTTTATTCTTATTTACTAGTATAATATATATCTTCTTAATAGACCTAAAGCCTTTACTCTTAACCTATGCCTAGACTTAGAAGAACGCTAAAGCCTTAGCTAAACATAATTAGAACGCTATTATAACATGTTATAGAAGCGTAGAGAGTAGACTTACTATATATAAGGCCTAGAGTTAACATAGAAAGAATAACTGCAAGAAGCTTAGTCTTTAGGTCTTTGCTTAGAATTAAAGAAGAAGAAAGAATATATATATATTCTCTATAACACGTTATAATTATATATAGACAAGATACTAGATCTACTAGAATTATAATATAGTACTTAGTGTTGTTATACACTTATTTAACTAGCTATCTATCTCTATAGAGATAGTTGTATTCTAAAATATATTATAAACGTGCGCTAAACGTAATATAGTATAAAGTTACTTACTACATCTTAGAGTTCTAGCAGACATTAATACTATAGTATTATATACCTTTTTATTATCTTTCTCTGCTAGAGGGCTATTATTAAATAAGTTCTTAAAGTATTCTAGGTCTATTTTAGAACTAACAGCGCAGAAAACGTGCTTCTTAGTATATCTAAGTTTATATATCTAGGCTGTACACTTAATAAACTAAGGTTTATTACTAGTAAGACTCTATAACTTAGTTACTACATATTATAAACGTATTTCTATCTATAGTGTCTCTTACTTTATATTGCTGTTAGAAGTATATAAGTCTATAGTTTAGTTACTAGTTACTATAAGATCTACTACCTATAAAGCGTCTAAGAGTTATAGCGTAGAGCCTTTAAAGTTAGTAGAAGTATGTTAAGAATATATTGCGTACACGTTAAACGTACCTAGCTATCTACTTCTAGTAAGTTGTTCTGTTATTAAATATAATAGTGTCTCTTAGACTTCTAAGTATATTCTCTATCTTAGGTATAATTTTAGAATAATAATAAGCCTTAAGTAGCTTAGTAAGTGTAGTATAATACTTAATACCTATATAAATATACTTCTAATGTTGTGTAATTATATTTAAGAAAGGTAAAGAGAATATATACTTTTTATATTTCTAGGCCTTTCTATATTAGAACTAGATTATATTAGAAATATATTAATATTACGTTCTTAGGCCTCTTATATTAATAGCCTTACTTAAGGTATCTTTCTATATTATGTAGGTAGATAGTAAGTAGATAATATATACGTAGCTACCTAGTGTACTTTTAGGCTATATTAGTATACTTATAATATACTTATATAATATTACTATTAAGTCTAGACTACTATTACTGCCTATAAAGAGTAGAATAAAGTTCTTCTAAATTATATTAAGAACGTAATATAAAAATATTATAGGTAGTATATAGGTTAAATTAGCTTAGAGTTACCTTTCTTACTTAGTGTGTTATTAGCTATTCTAAAGTCTAAGAAAGCTATATCTAGGTTCTTAAACGCGTTCTTAAAGAGTAGTAAAGGTACTTTAAGCTACTTAGCGTTAAATACTAGTAAAGAGAGTACTAGCGCCTCTATAGTTTCTATAAAGATAAGATATAAACATGTTATTAATACGTTCTAGAGCTAGATTTTAGTTTTCTTCTATATATAGTACGCTAAGCTATGTAGAGAATAATTCTATCTAATCTAACTATTACCTACGCCTTATTCCGCCTCTAACAACCCTAACTAGCTAGCGGCTATAGTTACCCACAAAAATCTAATAGTCGGATGAGGTGTAGCCACGTCTGGATGTCTTGATGTTCTGTATCTCATTTCGCTTGCAACTGCTGCAGATAATCGCAATCGCACCTTCTCTTGCCTTCGTCAGCAAGCGGCGAGATTTCTTGCTTGATGCCCGATTGCCGTGCCGACTTCTTCATACTCGCTTTCGCGTTCGCTCGGGTGAATTGCAAAAGATGGGAGCTTATCGAAGGACCGATAGCGATCGCAATAGCCGCCAATCCGGATTCGTGCAGTTACGATGCTGCAATCGCGTCCCAATCTAATGGTCACCCGCTTCTCTCTTGGGTGATGACGTATAACCTCGATTCCATTGCTGACTTGTCGCGTGATTTGGCGTTTCAGGTTGAGCAGATGTTGAGGCCGGCGCGTAGTTCTGCTGGCTCTGACCGCGAGCTTCATTGCGCTGAGGCGGTGTTGCGTATGCATGATCCGATTTTGACTGTGCCTTGTCGTCTGCGTCCCTTGCTTCTTCTGCTATGTCGCCTTGCCGCACAATTGTCTCGTGCGCAAGCCCCGAGATAGTGCCTCGTCGGCTCAAGGAACCACTGGAGCCTTCCGCCGCTCTCGTGGATGCATCTGATCGGTTTCGAGCGTGTCCCCTTCTTCCAGGTGTCGATGTCGATGACGACGATATGTGCGAGAAGGATGGTGATGTGTATGATCCTGGCGCCGATGTAGGCGGCGGTGGAGGGGGGTGAGGGCCTTGAGCCTTGCGCTTTTTGGGGGAGCTGGTGTATTCTAGGTCAGACGCATGCGACGCAGCACGTTGCCGTGACTGGTGAACAGGCGAAGTTTTGTATTTACCTGATGGCGTAGCTGGCGGGTTCCCACTAGCACTCTTCTCTTGTGAAGCCGAGGACGGAGGTACCCAGTGATGAAAGTATATCGAGGGCGAGGATTGCTCTTGTTGTTGCGTCTGCGTCTGCTGTAATTGCTGCACGCCTGCAGGGGCGGCAGGGGGCTGTTGTACCGTCATCTCGTTCGTGGTCAATCGGGGAAGCTGTGACTGAGGTAATGACCGTGGAGCTGCTGCAGAAGGGCCACCAAGACCAGCTTGTGCAGCTCGTGAGTGCGGTGACGTTTGTCCACCACTGTACGCACTTGCGGAAAGCGGAGGAGGTTGGATTTGCGGCGGCAATGGTTGCCCGGGTAGGACTGACGTCGAAGGTAGTATGGGTTGGGCAGGTTGCTGCTGTCCAGGATACACTGCTGGTTGCTGCTGTCCGATCAATCTCGGGTCTCTTCGAAGATCCGGGGAAAGTTGTGCTTGTGCCTGTGCCTGAACTTGCGCTTGTTGATGGGCAGCTTGAACCTGAGTCGTATACTGCTGTATCCATTCGGCACTGATGTTTGCGAGGTTCCCTCCACCAATGCCAGCGAAGATAATAGGTACGAGGTGAGGTGGTACTCCTCCCTGCATAGACTCTCGGAGCATGGACTGCTCGACCTTGCGTTGCTCAAGTCGTAAAGTTTCTTGTCTCGTCTTTTCCTCCTCTTGCTTACGTCTTTCTTCTTCAGCTTTGGCCGCCAGCCAGTTCTTCATCCCATCTTCTGCACCTTGCCATTGCGAAGGCGCTGGGGGTAACTGGCCCAATGACGATGACATTGGTGGAGGTCCTCGTGCGGGATCTGGCAACGTCATCGCCGAGGGGGGAGGGAGTCCTCGATGAGGTGTGCCCATGGTGTGGGAGGAGTTGACTGCCTCTGAAGGTGGAGATAGCCCACGGTGGTGCCTGTTTGAGTAACGAGAAGCCGAAGAGGATGAGAAGGCTGGAGAGTAGGCATGAGGTTTGTATTCGAAATCGGACTTGACCGGGTTAGAGAGTGTGAGCAACATGGAGGTAGGTGGAGCCGATATGGTAGATGTCGTAGGAGCAATTCAACATTGAAATGAGTCGGAGGGTGGCGCCAAAATTCGTAGGTCCGGAAGGAGAAGGAACAGTGTACATACTTATTCACCAGACTACGTTTACCGGGACCACCATCCACAAATGGCCCGGGATAGGATCGTAGCCGTTGCCCTAGGGCCTAGGCTTAATATGTCCCTGGCACAGTAGCCCCGATGTGATTCGCCGTTAAAGCAGGGCGACAAAGACCAAATGGAAGAGTAACAGGCGACGCTGCATGCAACGAAGATCAAGCCCCGTAAAAGCTCGCGTGGGCCGGCGTGGTCGATCAAGTCCAGATTAGAGAGAGGCAAGTGAAAATGGGCAACGGTGGGGAATAGTGCACAAGAAGGGAAGAGGGCCGACTGGAATTGGACCAACCAACGGGGATGACGGCCGCAATGGCTTGAGAGTAGCACGAGCAAACGGCAGGCCGTACGTCAAGGACGGGCGATATGTGGCGTTGAGTACGCGAAGGTGGGAGGGGACCTTTGCAGGGATATGCATGAAACGGGATGGTTGTCAGCAAGTGCAATGTTGTTGGAAGTGGTAGTGCGCGTTCTTGTAGTCCCACCATGTGACGCGCCTGGAGAAGGCCTCCGGCTCATGCAAAATCTGGTAGCGGTTCCCACTTGTGGCGCTGGTATATGCCGCAAAACTACTTACGTCCCGTTCGCGAGCCAAGCAAGTTCAGCTCGAACTCAGCGACGGTAGTTTCATGATACATTGGCCTGAGGCTAGACGTTTAGAGTTGGCGTCGCGGATACTGCCACACTGGCCTCTAGCATCCCATGACGCCTGGATGCTTGGAAGTGAACAGATTGATGTTCATATTCACCAAGTGCGACCGCCTGGTTCTGCCGCACAGGATGACGAACGAGCTCGAATACTTCGGCACAATTCTGGTCGCACTGAACCGCTCAGCTGTCGCGATCGTGAGGCCGCAGCGGACCGCAAATTGGATCACAATGCCTCTACTGGGCGGAATGGCATCCAGCACGCATTCGGTAATTTGTCGTGCAGCTCTGCTCTGGACCACCATCGCTGCCAGGTTTGTGGCATCTGTGCCTGTGGCTGAGAGCGAGGCTCAAGGCATGTGGACTGGATGGCGTGGCCTGGGAAATCTGAGCCGTGCGCTAACACCAGCCAGCAGGGTCAAACGTCCGGGAGGAAGCGAGCGCAAGATTACCGCTGCCCGGATTGTGAACTGGCTCAACCTAGCTTGACCAGCTTGCATGATAGGAAATGAAGGGTCGTCACCATCGTCAGACCTCAGCCATGTAATGTCCCGAAGTGGAAGGGTGAAATGAGGTTTTCGTGTTCTAAGAGCCGCCGTGCTTCAACGCGAAACCTTGGAATTGGTGGAAATGTATCCTGTGGCCCTGTTGCAGAACCTGTTCCCAGTTTAGTGTGATGCCCGAACAAGTATACACATGCCGTCATAGCGTCAACGGCTGAGGGTGCCTGGATGAAAAGCACAGTGGTGGCACGGAGCAAGGGACCGACTTCAACCTGTCAGCCTTCAGGGACCCCTCCGGATCTACATAGCGTGACAGACGGCATGCTCAATCGATAAGACGACCGATCATCGAGCCGACGCAAGACCCGAAAGAGTGTCACTTGGAGTAGTTGGAGGTGCTGGAGATGCGCGAAGAGGCAACCAATCTGCTGATCGTCGCGTGCGCGCTGCTCTCCGTCAGTAGCTCTGTGTAATTAGCGACACGCCAGCACTGACTGTGCGTTCCCACCACAGCCCGTAATGTACACGCAGATGACAGCTCGCAAGCCATCCTTGGGAAGGGAAGGGTTAACAGACGCGGCGTTGCGCAATCCCCGAGCGCCTGGTGCTGGCTCGAACGATCGACTAGAAACGTAAATTTCCGCGTCGGCGCTTAAGCTATACCTATCTTGTTCATGCAGCGGATCTACGTGAAACTCGCGGCGCACCGGATCTGTACGAAGGATCTTTGAGTATGATTTCCGGCCCCGGCTGACTAGTCCTGGAACCAATCAAAGCACCCCAGCGTTGCTTAGCATCATAACAGCAGTCGAAATGGGGACACCATGGCGAAATTGCTGTTGACAAGACAACATCGCTCTGGGGCGATTGTGCGGCGAAGACTCTGCTTTTCTCACGGATTCGACAATCCCTCGACATGAAACCGCCGGATTGGTCACGTAGGAGTGGAGGTGGGTTTAGTAATCGTCTTATTGAGGATTTTGCTTCTTCCTGACGGCACATCGACGAGACGGGTGTGCAAGACCAACGAGAACGAGTCTCTCAAAGAAGACACGGACAAAATGCGGCAGGCTTTTGACAGCCAATCTGTGTAGCTTCCTTTTAAGAAGGCCAGGTTTGCACCCCAGAACCACACCAATGGATTATCAACGCTGGAGGGGTTGTGTTCACCGTCGTCAACAGCGTTTACATTGTGGCAGGGGACAAGCGTTCTGTTGGTTTATGGTGGCATGCTCCAAGAACGCACCGGCAAAGTATATTGTTCCTGCCGTGGGAGAGGAGCCAAGTATTTCCGATCGTGGAGATGATGAGGCTTGCAGTAGGGACGAAGAAAAACAGAAGTAGAGCCTCCAATTCAATTCAAGTTTGCGCCTTAGCTCTGTTGGATGATGGCCTCATGTCATGATCGGAGATCCAAAGACAAAGAGCTAACCGCGAAGCAGCTGCTAATGCACTCCTGCAGCAGTAGTCAGTGGACAAGAGGAGCCGTCGTACTCCCTCTGATCGCGATGCCTTGCGACAGACGAGACAATGCCAGGCGGGTAGTCGCTGACAGCTGCATTGGACGCACGTAAGCTGCAGCATTGCGGTCGATCTGTCGTCTCCGTTGTGTAGGCTATTGGAACCGTGGCTAGTCAGCCGATTAGCGTACCGAGATGTGAATGACTATTCACCGGCTAGCCCTCCAGGGTGTAAACCTCCGACAAAACTTGCATCTCGCCATCGGTTGCCTTTCCTCAGTTATTTGTAGCAAGTGGCGTAGTCGCGGGAAGGTTGTTGCAACCTGCACATGGTTGATGTCCAGATCGAGGGAAGGTTTTGCTGATCTTCGCTTCACATTGAGAAAATCAGACCATAGATCAGCGTCGAGTTGCTCTGGTCTTGTTGATCAAACCGGGTCTGGCACCCGTACACGGAAGACGACATGCTGTCCTCGCGTTCGGAGTAGCCGACTGCGACTTGAGACGGAAGCAGATAGTCGAACCAGTCGCCCACTTACGAGGACGCGGTAGTTGAGGGGGGCGAACTTGTACGCGTAGTGGGAGGCAAATATCTTAGTCGGGGCAGGACGTCGCGGCAGTTTGCCACCCGAATCGGCATCTGCGACTGCCCCATCGGGCACCAACGCAACTATACCCGGGCGACTTGGTTATTTTTACCGACACAACATACACAATTGTATACCGGACGAGTACTGCACTCGGGCAATACTTGCTCGCCCAGCACCAGTGTTGATCCTGTATTCTTCCACCATTAGGCTGTACGTCGGCTGAAGTATCTGCCCGAATGCAACACCTGTGCCTCACTCTTGTGCTTGTACGTCTTAGACACTCCTGTGGCTCCCGCTTTTCATAGCCGGCCTGGTAAGAGGCATAGAGACTAGGTTTAATCAGCGTTCCTTCTAGATCTATGATCACGTGCGCCGCTATACCTGCGAGTTTTGGATACCTTGCCTGAGCAAATGTTGTACTCGGCGTAGGAGTTACCGCGACTTTGGAAGATCGGCCGTCGACCTTCCCGATCTCTCTACCCTCCCGTGCGTGGAGCCACAACCCGATTAACCCAGCAGCACTCCCTGTTACCCGTCGCCGCAGTCCGTCCGCCGGGCTGTCAGTCAACCGCCAACGAAGCGATGATCACTTCCATTTGGTCTTGGATTTATCTTTAGACGGCGATCTTGCACCAAAGCGCATCTATTATGTGCAAATCTTTTGCCCTTCCAGAAGCTTTCAATATTCGAGAACATGTTCTATGTATGGACTGATCTCTAACGGTAATATATCCATGTTGGTGGGTGATTAACTATTATATTACTACATCTGGTCTCAATTGTGCTGGACATATGTAATGGCCATGCTCCCTATGTCTTGACCGGTGAAAATGCAGGCAGAAAAGAAAAACAAGAGGTATCTTGATAAAGGGTCATTCCATGCATGCGCCGCCGTCTGAGGTTGTCCTCAGATGAACAAAAGAAAAGAAGTCATCGCAACACAGGACCCAACCATCGGGCGAAGGGACGCTGTCCCGAAACATCGTCGGAGAAAGGTGGCCCATACGTGAGCGAGTCAAGCATTCCTCATACCACGTTGATGGCGGTGTCATCCACGTTGCACCGCTAATGGCGCCCAAGCGGTAATGGGGAAGTGATGTGTCGCGGGTAAAAACCTGGACGTGTAGTTGGAATAGCCGGAAAAAACAAACATCAATGATGTCGCAAATCTTGGAAAACGTGCCAGCCACGTTGTAGCCATGTGTCCGGTGGAAAATCATCGCAAGCCACCACTTTGCAAGATCGACTGCCGGCTTCTAGAAATGGTGTGGAAGGAAAAGTACTCGTTTGGATATGGTTCCGTGTTCGGTAGTGTACCGCGCTGCAACTTGCAATGCAGCCGCTTGCGAGGGCACGCGCGTTTCCATCGGGTCGGTGTCAAGTTCCAGGAATCCGAAGCGCCGGCCTACCGCTTAGGCATTGGCTCGCTTCTTGCGCATCTTGTATTCAGCCTTCGCTACGCGCATCAACAGCTCTTCGTCTTTGATGGGAATCCAAGATGTCAACACCTTCATCGCATTCTCAAAGTCAGAGTCAAGCAATATCTCTCTTGTCGCATCAATGAGCGCAGCCGAGGTCGCGTGTAGCACATCCATGTCTCCACTGAATTTGGAGTTAGGCGAGTTGGAATGAGACTTGTCGCCCAGTAGCATAAACACGTC